TTTAATCAATATTTTTAATAGGGACAGACTAAATACTGTACACATTGCTAAGAAATTGATGACTTCTATACTCCCGGACTAATTTGCAGGCCCCAACCCGGGTTAACCTTATAAAGGGTATAGAAATACAGTAAAGATCATTTTAAAACATCATTATCAGCATAGTTTTTACTTTCTTGAGGATTTTTCCGTATATAGATCAGATTGTACAGTCACACCTCATAGATTTTTCAGGTAAAACAATGGAGATTTTAAGTTGTTAAATACTACATTTATACCTTTTATTTAGAAGTATTCTGACACAGTGTGATGTATTTGTATGTATTTACCAGTAGTGACCTGCAGCTAATTGGGTTTTTCAATCAAAGTTTTTGACATTTGATCCTGAGTTTTCATAATTTGTGCATCATCAGTTTGCATCATGACTACTTTTTTATGTACACATGACCCAAAGCTTAACATTTTTGAGTATTATGATTTGTATTGCCATGCAGTCATTGAGAAACTAAATCTATTCTCTTTCCTTATTTTCTCGCAACAGACATTGCGACAACTTCTCAAAATCAGCTCACATATCTTGCAAAAGTGAAGACACAGATGGGTCGAGAGCTCTATGCATGAACGGTGCCGCAATGTGTGTGTATCTGTGTGTGTTTGCGTGTGTATATTGTGTGCCCATGACCCCGGCAGCCTCACGGGACTCTGCAGCTAAACTGACGGATGCCAAGAAGATACAACAGAGACCTGAGCCTTTACCGCAGCAATGCAGGAGGAGAAGCAATGGGGGAATCTCAATGAAGTGGAGCCGAAGATGAAACAGGTGTAGCCTAAAACAGTGGGGAGTAGCTGTTTGAGCTTATGTTAGCAAGGTTAACAAGTACAAGCACCCTGTGGAAGTTTGTCTGCGCTGTCACTGTTTCGCTGATGTATCATTCTCTCAGTGTTATCCAGAGCAGCATTCAGCAGACGGCAGGTAAAGCAAATATTCCATTTCTTCTCCTGTCTCCCACCCTCTGAACAAACACAGGCCCTATAGAGACAGCAGCCATATGGGACTATTGACTGGATCTTTTCAAGACAGGTTGAAAAATATATTGCTTATTTCTGTCAAGAGCAAATATGAAATACATTATTAAGAAGCTGGTGTACAACTTAATCAGTGTGGTGTTTAATTCATAAAGGTCACAGAGATTTACGTTATATATTTAGACCTCAAGTTGACTCATACTTTCACAGTAATTAAAGAGCCTATATTGCTTTCTATTCTATGTTATAATGTTGTTTCCTCAGCAAAAACATAGCTGGAATTGTGATTTGTTTGCATATTTAGTTCTTCTTCTTCCAGCTGAAAACACTCTGTTCCAATTTGCGATGTCATGTGGTAATACAGAAAGTGCTCCATTGTGTTAAAACACTATACAACTTCTTTACAATAATTTGAATACTTTCAGCCCTGGAATTGACTATCTCTACTGAAATAAAGGTAAAAGGTAGCTGAAAACTGTTTGAAAACTACCACTTCATGACATCTCAAAGTGGAAAAGAGCATTTTAAGCTTTGGAAATAACAAGAAAAGACAGACTAATAATAAAGGATTACTCAAACATGTGTAAATGAAACAAAAAAACAACTCAATATATGTTTTTTTGAGGACGTAACAACATTACAAAATGACTTAAAGCTCACAGGAGTATTTTTTGCATAATATAGGACCTTTAATATGCAAGTTTTGCTGAGTAGATTGAAATATCATCATATAGTGTATGTTAAACACTGAGAATTATGTGCAAATGTAGAGTGTGTTATGGATAAAATCTAGATGTAGGGTAGATGTCCTATTTATATCAAATCAGACAACTCTCAGCTAGGTTAGAGAGAGCACAGAAAATAAACTTCAAAGTGCTAAAAGTCCTTCATATTATTATCTACAAACCCACTTGAAGAATATTGACTACATTTCCGTTGTATCACAAGGCAGTGCTACTATGACCCACAATGATATTTTTACTTCCCAGCAGCAGTAATGTATATTCCCCCGTTTCTCTTCTACTAGTACCCACCCTCCCCCCACCCATACTACACACACACACACTCCGCCCCTAGGACTGGCCTGCCGCAGTCAAATGTAAACAGTCCAAGGGAAGCCACCCGAAGATCATTTTTCACCAGCCCCCACCAGTGCTATGTAAACCCTAGGCCTGCCTTTGCCTCTTCATTTCACATAGTCCACTGACAAATGCACAAGAAAGACAAACAAAACAGCACAAATAACACATACAACAGACAATCATAAAATAAAGAAGACATGAGCTAACAGCCTTAGACAAAGCTTGTGACATTGGCTGTAGTTTAAACCTCTACATGCACTCAAGAAACTTATCATCATGTTCTCGTCATAAAATTTTCATCAGTGTATCTTAGGGTGAAGGACTTCCTGTTGAAATCGACACACACTTAACCTTGAACTAGTGGTCTCCTAATATAATAGTGTCTGGTGCTCCGATGAGACTTCTTATGACATTACAAAAGCAGAAGTACAAAGCAGTGACCTGTATTATAACCAAACAATGCAAAGAACAACACACTGTTAATATTAAATGGGAGTGACTTTAGCTGTTCTTTTTAAAATACTATTCAATACACTGGAGAGACAGCTAAGGAAAATTGGACATAAAGTTTTTTGGTGGGCCTACTATATTTCCATACACATTATATGAAGTTCAGGCAAATGTAATTAAGCAATAAATACTCCATTTCAACTCCATTCCATTGAATAAAAGTAAAAAATACTTAAATGCTTGCAGTATACTTTTTTCACAGTTTTTTTGTTCATCATTGTCTTTAGAGACTAAAACAATAAGCTGTCATATACTAAAGGCGTTTATATTACTAAAAACTCTCAAATGTGTTTATGATACTTCCTTACTTTGCCCTATGATTGAGTAGACTGTAACCCATGAGAAACCAGGGAATGGTAAAAATGTATGTTTGATGGAACATCATATGAAAAGCATCAATACCACTGTAAATTATTCGATAATGTAAACATATGGGCTGATCCATCAAGTGTAAACAAGGAGTGAAATTAATCTCCTGTTATATCACAACAGAGGCAGAGACATTGATTAATATTATACTGAATACAAAATCTATAAACCGTATAAAAGGCACTGTATCATAGTTACTGGAGACTTGAGCATGTTACTGTCAACAGTAAGAGTCACAAATGACTTTCATGCCAGTGTTTGTGTACACAAACAGATTTCTGCATTACCCACAATGCTCTGCTTTAGTCAAACCTGATAAGACAGTGCCATAAGTTTGCTTTGACAGACAGTCAAAGAAAATGCTCTACATTTACTCCACATATCTTTTTATTCACATGCTCTAGTGCTTTATAAAAGAAAAATTTCAACTCCACTAAGTCACACAAGTGAAACATACTATGTATGACAGAATAGCCTATTCAAATTTAAATCTACAGCAGGAATGCGCCCATCCCGATTACGATACTATTTACTTTAAGGATCTGCCAGTACCCGCTATCAACTCATACCAGAGCAGGAACTAAAAATAGCATGCAGTTCCAAATAACCTATAATAAAACTTTCACATTTGTTATGCAACTGTTATATGCCCTTCAAGCAGCTAAAGGACAACTTTGTATAATAATACAATTTCTAACATTACGAGACATTTGGGGCCAGTAACATATATCACATGCATGAGCTAATATACATAATTAGTGGACCACAGAGATAGATGACCTCTGGGAACACACCATCAGAGCTGCAGTTTTAAAGACTCTCCTACTATCCTCAAATCCTTACAGTCACTAATTCTCTCCAAATCATCAGCAATAAAAACACCTTTACTTTCTATTGCTCAGTATTCCCTATACAAAAAGAGGTGCAGAAGATAATGGATATAATTAAGAACATGTTTATAGTGACAATTGACCAATAAAACAGGTGTTAAAATTGCAGGCAATAGCAGGTGTCAAAATTATTGATTTTGAATTTGCGGTTACAAAACTATCACATAATCTCCAATCATAATCGTGTCCATTGTATTTTCAGGATATAACATCGCACCACAGTATTGAGCTAAGAGATGCAGAGATTATCAGACACTTTATATTGACTGCAGGGATCCATTTGGCCCATATTGACCGATGCGCATCTGAAACTCTGGAATCTTGGCATGTTTGATGTAATAACCATTTCCTGATTGACCTTTGAAATGACTTTTAAAAACTGCGGTGGGGCCAGTGGTGTGGAGAGTGCTGACGGTGTTGCTGTGGCTGTCGATACAGTGAGAAGCAAGAGACTTTTCTGTCAATGAGGCAAACACACAGCTGACCTAATAAATATGGATCTGGTCCTGGGCCCAAAGATAATAGATCAGTGCTTCTCAAAGTGTGAGGCAGGATCCTAATGTTACTTAAGAGCCTAGTGCAGTTAAAATCGTGATCTACGAAATAAGATTTACTTTGAAGTTTATCTTGAAAGTTTAGACTGAGTTTAGAGTTAAGTTATTGATTTGACCAAGTCCTTGTTTAGGTCGGGGTTTACTCTCCTGTCCAGAAGTTCTTAACAGTTAAATATCCACTCTTATTGTGTAGTTTTGACATCTACAAACATGTTCTGAAATGACAGTGATTCTGTGTATTGATATCAGTTTTCACCCAGTCTTTGCACTTTGAACAGAACCCCACTTTTTAAAATTAAATTCGAACGGAATCTCAATTGCAAAATTTGTGTGAAAATTGCATATTTTTCCAAAATCATTCTGCACTAGCCCCAGGTAAACTAATAATTGACTAATCCTCCAACTAATTAGCTCTGACCAAACTTTGCATGAGATGTTTTTTTTTTTCATTTAAACTGCAATATTTTTATTCCAAGTTGGTACTTGACTTCAAAGGTTTGAGCCTCACAGCAGCAGTAGAGACAAACTCCTTCCTCTGCTCTGTGGAGAGCAGGCTGGTGCTCACTCACCTGTGGAGACAGGGCAGTGGGGGGCTGGCTGAACAGTGTGGAGTGGGGCCGCAGACCATGTGCTCTCCTGATGCTCTGACGAGAGAGAGGAGCAGACAGTACCTCCTGCTGAAACAAGCACAATATTTACAGTGTGAAATCTCTCAACCTATGAAATAAGCCTATAAGTTTAGTCCTGGTAAAACTTTTATGACAAAGTTTTTACTCAGCTCAAATTAAACTAAATTAAAGTTAATAAGAGAATATGTTTAGTTACTACCTATTACTGTTTGTTTTTGAATAATGATGAAAAAGATCAGTGTTTTGCTCCTCCAGCCAGTAGCCATCCCTGAATCATCCAAATCAATGTATTTTATAATGTGAGCGACATAACTATAACACACATGTTAATAAGATACTCATCAGACACCATCAGATCTCCATTGTGCCTGAAAAGTGACTCAAAATAATGAGGCATGAAAGTGCTTGTCATTTCTTCACACTGAGAGAGTTGTTTTCTGTGTGCCATCATTGGAAAATAAGTTTTGAGTGAGACAAAGGGTATATTGAAAAACGAATGAACGAATGATACACGGATTAAAGGGGCCACACACATTTAATGAAGAAATGAAGAAATAAAATTATTGTCCGTTCATCCTTAAGCAACAGCAGACCAAAGCGTATTACCAAGTTGTGTACCAAGACTTGTGAATTAGATAAAAATATATATCTTATCATGAATTTGGATGTCAGTTCGATGTTGGTTCCGTAGTCGTAGTAGAATACAATTACAACATGTTAAAAAGTTGTACATTTGCACTACTTATTTTATCTACAATGGCACCTTGTTAAAATGCAATGGTTATCTGTGAAATATGAATCAGCGCAATATAATATATGCAATACTGATGAACTGTGATCTAAATGTATTTTGTCACTCTCCAACTTAATTATCATGTAATATTAGTATGAAACTGTAGTCCTTGTTCCTGTCCTTGTTTACCAGCATTATCTGTAAATTGTGTGCATGTTTTATTGTCTACAAAATAATAATGAGTGAAATATTTCGTTCCATAAACGTGCTTGTTTTGCAGAGTGTCTAGAAAAACTGGTGAATTGGATTAAATGTGATAAGCCTTGACATTTTGTGTTTTATTCTTAGACACAAATTCAAACACCACATTATGAAAGCAGTCAGAGTACTTATTAGCATGAATGTTTTAAACTCAGAGAAACTGTGTGTGTTTAAATAATTATCTCCAGCACTAGACTTTGAAGTAGCCTGATCAAACATGAAATAAATGAGCTGCAAAATACATAAACATGGTCATCCAGAGTTCACGTGTAAGGTAGTTTAGCGTTCATATTCAAAGTCAGCACTGTGGTGTGGGCAAAGGATTATTTTCACTAGGCTCAGTGAAGCCCACTGCATAAATTGGAATAAGATGAGTTGCTTAGTGCACATTTACTCTTAACTCTCAACTTGGTTTAGACTTTTAATCTTGAATATGTTTCTAGTCATTAAAAAATAAGTCTGTGTGGTTTGCTAAAGATAGGGAAGCACTAGGGGTGTAACAATAACCGAAATATTGTTATATTGTATCATCAAAAGTCTCTCAGTAATACTGTGGGCCATCACAATATATCGAATTACAATTTTCTTATCTTAAATTCATTGTTATGGTGCAGCAATAGATAAAAAAACAGAGGGAACTACATCGACCAGGATCCTCTGCTACATGAAGAAATAGCAGTACTAAGCACTTTTATGTCTTAGTTCTTTGGCTTAAGTCTTGTCAAGACAATTTAAGAGGAAAAAGTAGCATATCCACAATTTTGTTAGCCTTCACAAAATATCACAATAAATACTGAACCTTGAGATGTAAATCGTGAAAATATCCTACAGTGACATTTGGATAGCATTAGGATAGGATTAAATTAAATTAAAATCACAACTGTTCAAAACAATACTGTACTGTGAAAAGTGAATCATAAAAGTAAGAATAGATGTATTATTAATGAGTAGTCTTTGGTGATTCATGTTTTAAAAGTCTCTAGATTGACCTGTGGCTTTCTTCCAAGTTTTGCTTTCTTTTCAGACTACAGTTAAATATCATTACATCATTACTTTTAACTGATAAGAGCAGTGATCATGATTTGAAATCTGATTATTTGCCCAGCTTACTAAAGATACTGTTTAGATCTGATTACATTTCCTGGTTTACATTTCGCTTACATTTAGTAGTGCAAACATTGTGCTATTTCAAGTATTTTCTGAAGCAGTGCTGCAAAGCTTAATAGTGTGAGTCCATCTTCAAACTATACCCCTTTCACAAGTTTAACACACACGTTAAGACCACAGGTGGCCTTGGAGCCCAGCTGAGCATTGACCATGTAACCTCGCTCCACACACACTAATCAATATTAATCATTGCACCAGCCTGCAATAAGACATTTCAGCAATCCTCTAATGACAAAGTCTCCGATGTGTCTTCTCCCATTATCGCATCACCAAACGGAGATGCCAGTTTGATACCAATTCACCCAGCATGTATTACACACACAATTAGCCTTCATCTAACTAGCATCCAATGTGCTTTAGACAGTCAAGGGCACGGCTTATGTTATGCCCATTTGAACCAGTTTTATCACTTCAGAGGCAACTGCCACACTGGGGACACTTTTAGATGAATGCACAAGATTAAAGTTGCATTTTAATTGGTTGAAATTTTGCTTTCTTAGTATGTAAGAACCAGCACACTCAAAGAGCAGCACCCCTGGGGACCAAATGCCAGCAGTCTTGATAGGTTCCACACTGGCTAGTTCTTTTCTTGTTTTGTAATAATTCACGCAAGATTATTGAGGGATTGGGAGCCATTTGAGGCAACCCATTCACAATACAGTTTCTAAAAGCATAGTGGAGTATTAGAGGTACATGGCTGACCACCCTTCACGTCACAGACAGGAGCGCGCAACGAAGCTTAAGCAACAATATCACTCACTAGACGTGTCCTCGGCCGATACGCAATGGACCTTAGCACGAAGATAGCAGTTTGCAGAAGGATTAATGCTTGTTGCTTATCTACAACAAGTCAGGCAGGAAACCAAAGGAGGGGCATTTGAAGGGACTACGCAAACTAAACTATAAAAAGGATGTATGGGAACTGGCAGAGGAGTTTTACCAGTCAGCTAGTGCAGAGGGTGAATGGAATTTGTCCAGCTATTGACTATGCAATGTAAAATATATTTACTAAAGCAATAAGCCAATGTCAGGAATCGGACAGAGTCATTTTTACTAAGGAAAAGTGAAATATCTCTGCCGTAATACCTCTATGCCCAGAAGTGTTTAAAGATGGAGAGGCCTTTGAGAGCATCTATGGCTCATGAGCAGGTTACACCATAAATAGCCATGCACTCACCAACAATATTCCACTTTCACATCGATTTTACTCTATCACATTGAAATATTATGGAAACATGCAGGCTAGGGCTCCATAATATATTGCAATGGAATTTAAATTACAAAAAAAAAATCACAAAAGATGATTATTCAGATGAGAGAATATCCTCTCTAGATAATAAAATGTGCTTTTTTTTTAAACAGAAAACTCTTTAACCTCTACAAAAATGTTCTAAAATGTTAAAGGCACACTGTGTCACTTTTCTGGTGGAGGGTCTGCTACCTGCTTGTATCTATGTAGATGTAATTTCTTTGCCTAGAATATTCCACTGATCTGAAAATGTCACTGAAAGAGCTTATTGTCACAGGGATGAGTTCACATTTCCACTACGAGACAGCACACTATTCAAATGATATCTTCACATCAGCCCATCCCTACACATAGGCCATTCAGTCATTGGACCCATTCAGATTAGACAGCACTGTAACTTGACTAAACTGTGCCAGCCACTCTGCAGTACAGGCTAGCAATCTCTATTCATTTGGTCAATAGATTTCAAAGTTCTAATTAAGCTCTTGAGAGTTACAATGACAAATCCTGCTGAGACATTTTAGGGGAAGTAATTGCAGCTGACGAGTGTTAAAAAGTCACATTGGAACTCTGCATAAATCCTTGCAAATATTTGTCCGCTCCCTGATGAGTTCAATATTTTGCTTGAGATTTTTGTTTGACTTTGTGAAGGCTACGACAAATCAAGCTCCCGTCACAATAATGAGATCCCCACAGGCTCAATAAACACTAGACAATACTGTTTTTAAAGGTCCTACGATACACAAAATTGACTCTTGTGATCTTTAAGCCATGTTATAATGTTGTTTTTTTTTACCCCCTCAAAAACATATCTGGAGTCGTGTTTTGTTTCATTTACGCACATTTGAGTAATCCATCTCCAAACCAATGCCCTGTGCCACTTTGTGATGTTATGAAGTGGTGGATTTCAAGTTAACAGCTACTTCTTACCGTAAGTTCGGCAAAGATGGGAAATTCCAGGGCTGAAATCAACTAAATTATTCTTAGGTGTATGGAGTTTAAAACACAGAGGAGCACTTTCCGTATAAAATCACAAGGTGGAAAGTATTTTCAGTTTGAGATAAGAACTTGCCTAAATATGCAGATTGTGTATGAAATGTGTGAATGAAACAAAACACAACTCCAGGTACGTTTGTGATGAGGAAGCACCATTATTACAGATCAGAAAATAGCGTAATATGAGCCTTTTAACAATGCTTTACATTCCAATACTGGTTTAAGGAGTTTAGGATAAGAACAGCCCATATATACCACAATATACAACCATAATGTTCTTGTCTTTGTAACATCCAAATGTTTTATAGAGGTAAAAGGCAGTTAACTAAATGTTTCCTTTATTGTTACCGAAAGCTTCTGTCTATTTAAGGCCCAAATCTTTTCAGTGAAGAAGAAATGACGCTCAGATGAGTTCAGTTCAGAAACCAGAGGTCTCATTTATAAACTATTCACACATACAGTCGGGAGAGGGTCCGTCAAATGCTTTTCTTCGTGTAGATGTTATTGCTTTGTCTGGAAGGTTTCACAGTATGGTATTAAACCTTTTTATCCAAACCAGACCAAGTATTTATGAGCTATAAAACCACCTGTAATTGAATAAATGTAAAGGTAGAGAAACAAGGAGGTGACGGACGGACCCCC